GAAGCAACCCCAGTACAGGATGTCTGGCGAACTACCGGTGTCAATAAACACCTTATTGACATTATGATTGCCTATATGAACTGTTGCTACAAAGGGATCTGCATGAGGCATCATAATATCAGGCTCTCCTTCTGCTCGCTTGTAATCTGACAGGCTGAACGTGATGGGCGTATTTTCCCATTCTGCTTCCTCAAACGGCCGTTTCAAGGGTCTGTCTTTGTTAACGGTCATCACCTGTCGGGCATATGCCTTGCGAGCTCGGGCGCTTTGGCCCCCTGAGTGAACACCACCCGATATCATGTTTATTGTACCAGAAGGTGGGGGTATCCCAGCATAACCTACCCCCTTCCTATCTTTTTGATTCGGGGCGGTAGTTCTCGGTCCCTGCCCTCTCCTGTTGAAAGGACGTCCTCGGTACGCTCTGCCCTGTTCAGAAGGATACTGATTATCTTAATATGCATCCTGCGTCCCTCCATGCTGGTACCTCTGTCCTTGAGGTCGGTCGTACGCCTGTACAAAATGAGTTTGAGTGGGTTGCTGGGTGTGAGGCTTTTGAACATACCCTTCTAGCTTCCCATTACGAGCCAAAAACTCTAACTCGTCTTTCAAGTGTTGGCAGTCCTCTGTATTGTGACCATATACACGGTGGTAGTCACAATGCTTGCTCTTGTCGGCCCTCGGGGAATCATGCAGTGGGGGTGGAGGTCTCCTAACCCAGTGCTGAATTTGTGCCAGGATTTGAGACCTAGGTAAGGTCAAAGGAATGTAACTGGCATATTTCGGGAACTCAGCTGGTTTCCCCCATTGCTCACCGACCTTCTGCTTCTTCTTCTCTTCTCTTCTCGGATGTTGTTCTTGTCCTCTGCTCGGCTTATCATCAGCTCGTCGCTTGGACGACTGAAAGTCCTCTGACAGTATGAAGCTGGCCGACCTGTCATTCAACTCATTCCACGTCTTCGGTGGGTTTTCGAGCAGGTCGTCTAGGAACCGGCCACGCTTCAACCCGTGCAACAGGGCGGAGAGGCAGATTGTGTCTGGGATATTGTCAATGTCCAATGTGGCTTTGTTGAACCGCTGCATGTAATCCCTCAAGGACTCCCCTTCCTTCTGGTTAACCTGCATCAGCTCAGTTGCTGTGCGCTTGATCTCCCTTTGGCTCACAAATTTGTTAGAAAACAGCTTGGCGAGCTGGGAAAATGAATCTATTGAATGTCTAGGAAGTTTGTGATACCATCTTCTAGCCGTTGATTTCAGTGTTGCCGGGAACACTTTGCACATCATGGCATCATTGGCGTTTTGAATCCTCATGATGGCTTGATAGGTATGTAGATGTTCATCCGGGTCTTTCGTGCCATCATATGTCTCTAGGTGGGGAATTTTGAATCCCTCTTGATATGGTTCTGCTGTGATGGATAGGTTCAGCGGAGCACTATCCAAATCCAAGGTCAGTTGGTGCGACCTGGGGCTTTTCAGCTCGTCAATGGATTTCTGTACATCCCGTAGTTGCCTTTCAAGGTCCGCGTTCTTTCTCATCAATTCTTCACTATATTTGGACGAGCTGGGCTCAATATTCAACTTCCCACTTCCCCTAGGCCTGGTCGGCACCACTATATTGCTTAGAGCGGGGGAGTTTCTAGTTGCAACAACCGCAGCTGGTTGTGCATCCCTGTTCAGCAAAGGAATCAGGGGGTCGTCAGGAATTAGGCGGGCAAGGATTTTACCCATTGCCATTTCGAGAACTCTGGTTCTCTCTTCGAGCTCGGTTGTCCGAGCAGGTTCTGTTGACCTTTCAGGTCGTTCTTGCTGTGAAATGTGTGGTCGAGAAGGTCTTTGTCTTGTTCCTATTGGAATTTGGGACTGTTCAGGTTGGGCCGCATACCCAGTTGGTGTTCTTTCATCATCTGTCTCACTTAGGGGATCCTATTCAGCTCCCCCTACAAAAAGATTTCTAGGCATTGGCCCAAAGTCATTCAACCCAGGCTCAGACACTTGCACGTCCTCCTGTTCGTCCATTTCATTTCTTGGAGGGCGACCTCCTGTAAAGGTACGAACCATTTTGTCTCTCAGCAGGT